ATTATGTAAAGCATATAGAGCTCTCGGTTAGCAAGGCTCTATATGCAGATGACAGTTCGATATGGACTGGTCACAATGACCTCAATAAAGTTAAATGGCGTATGCAAACTGCTCTGAACCAAGTTGCTAAATGGGCAAACGACTGGGGCTTCATTATTTCGGAAGCTAAAACCGTCGGTTTGTTCTGCAGCAGAAAGAAAGATCACGACAGTATTGACCTTAGACTGAATGGTGTGAAGATTAAGCATGAGAATTCAGTAAGGTTCCTGGGAGTACACTTTGACAGGTGTCTGACTTGGAGTACGCACATTGACTATATCTGTAACCGGTCTACAAAAATCTTAAATGTTATGCGTTATGTTTCAGGTACCACATGGGGAGCAAACAGAGAAACTCTAATGATGATGTACAGGTCACTGGTTCGTTCAGTTATTGATTATGGTTGTATTGCCTATGGTAAAGCAAGTGATACTCAACTGAAGAAACTCGACGTTCTACACATGAAAGCTATACGTATTGCCACCAGGGCAGCTGTAGGTACGAAGAATGAGGCGCTACTTCAGGAGGTGGGAGAGAAACCCCTCTCTCTTCGGAGGGAGGAGCTATCTCTCAAATTCTGGGGGAAACTTCAGTATTTGTCCGAAAGCTGTCCGACGTATTCCAGCATCAGAAGATTTACTCGTGTCGGAAATAACCAGAAGAATCGGAGTATCTCTTACGGGCAAGCGGTCATTGATCTATTGAGAGAGCATCAGCTCGATCAAGTAACGATCCTTGAACGCCGCCTATCGGCTACTAAGTTTTGGAAGGTTACCAACCCAACAGTCAACACCCAGCTGAACCAGAGTACCAACAAGCACGAGAACCCAGTGGAATCATCCAATTTGATCCAATCCAACTACCAACTACTACGACTACCAATAACTACCTAGTTTGCGATATCAGCATCCGCTGGAAGCGAACGTTAACTTGTCATCTACCTACCTACCTACCTGTCCAGATAATTCTAGAGTATAGTAAATGCTACTATACCCTTTTGTTCCATTACGACCCCAGGAGGTAATAGCTTTAGCGGTGACCTCTTTTGTCTCCAGTCCAGGCAACTTTTTACAATATACAACCAGGCTACAAAAGTGACAGATTACATTAAGAAGACTCACCAGCAGATGGAGGTCTATCAACTATAGTTCCACTAATATATACAAATCTATTGTCATATTCTAAAGACACTCGTTGAAATCGCAATGGTGATAAACCCATTGTTTCTGCAATTGTGTACTGGGCATATCTTAAAATCTTATCTTCTGTATCACTGTGATATTGACCTGCAATAGAATGATTCAAGATATTGGTACAATAGATTACAATACATGATGTACAAGGGTAATTGTATGATAATCACATAGAACAACAATAAAACACTAGGTCGAGGTCATATCATAGAATAGTAGTACATGCACATTAACTAAAAACAGAATAATGGTACACAAATCTATGCTATAGGACACTGACAATTTATACCATTAGGTAATGCTTGGGGTAATGACTGACAAGGGTAATGGTTCAATCATTCTCATAGCTATTAGGTGAACACCTGATAGTGGTACAGTCGAGCACATAAATACAAAACCAATAGAATATGTTAACAAAACACAACAGGGTATTGAAACACATCCATATTTTTCACTATTGTGAAAAAGTACTTTCTGCAAACATAAAGTACAGACCTTTAAACGTAACCTGTATTCTGAGTTTATGTTGATCTGAATAACAATCGGACGTATCAAATACTTCTATTGGTGGTTCATTCGGATTATAATTAGTATAATCATAGGTGGTAATATAATCTACCTGCATAATGAGAATATTCACACTCATTCCTTAAACCTCATACAAACAAAATCGTTCTGTGAATTCTCTTTTCTCGCTTCTTAACATTTAAGATTTCGGTTATTTTGATTTCATTGATAAACAGCGTTTTCTAACAGCAGTAACAAAACATTACAGATGGCGGTTGTTGTCATCTCCTGAATTCTTACCAGAAATGTGTTGGTAATACTTACACTACACCACCCTTTGAAATAAAACTTACCCCGGGACTGCTAACAATAGTTCGATATGGAATTTGGAAATTAGCATCTACATCCCATTTGGTGCCTAATTCATTGGCATAATCAAACGATTTCTGAAATAGTGAAAAATCCCAAATACATGTATTCAATCGTTTAACTTGAAAATATTCAATGCTTTTGATGCGAAACAATATAGTTTTGACCATCGTTTGGCAGTGATGCAGCCAAGGATAAAGATGACTTCCGAACAGTTAGTAAACGGGCCTTTTTTGGCGTGCGGTTGTAGTTCCAACATTGTTTATTTATTCACTCACTGACTCGATTTCAAATTTCATCATAAACTCATCATTAGAAGAAGAGAAAATCACTTACAACAATAAAAAAGGTTTCTATGGTACAGTTAGCCGGTATACCGATGCCAGTGGGATTTAATTCACTAGTTTCAGATATCCATACATCACAAACTATACCATTCTCTAATGTTCTCTATAATTACAGACAAAATACCACGTATACCTACATCTATGATCACACCAGACTCTGCATGTATCCAGTTATATGTTACATCTTGTGTTTCGAGATATTTTTATTTGGTAAACACAGATGGTTGTACATTTGGAAGTAGCATTATGGAGGCAAATGACCCACTTTTGAAATGACGATTCGTCTTGACGACCACACTTTAGAATTGTCTCCTTGCCAATAATGTATTCGCCCAGACCCACCCGTGTATCATATTAACTTGACAATAGGAGATATTTTATGCTCAAACAGGCTGCTTTAATTTGTGACTCAGTAATTTATCTTGTGTACCTTTACCTAAAGGTAAGTCCTAATTGTAGAGTGATAAAATACTTGCCATTCCAGCGTAAGTATTGTTCCATTTCAAAAGAGTTAAAGCTAACGGTGTTTTCATCTGTTCAATAAATGATTTATTTGCTGCATGGAGTACCGAGGAATGACTGAGGGTCTCATCAAAACTACCATTAGTTATAGGATATATAGAACAATTTCCCTGTATTCTGTCTTTTACAAAACTGATACCTGATAAAATACAATGCGCACAGGTCTAACAATGAGAAAGTACAATTTCGATAAGTTTGGTCAACAACTGCTGATTCACTTAACTAACCATGGCAGTATATCGTTCACGTATTCTAGATATTAACTCATTAACTCGTTCATTTCCCTCTAACCGTAGTAGAGCCTAAAGTCTTTAGATACTGCAAAATAATTTCATTGTTAATGTCTCCGTCCTATCCAGTCAGTATTTTGCTTGTATGCATATTGTCCAGATTTAAGAAAAATAAAATTATCTGCTCTGATGATGAAGTATATACCGGAAACGCACATCAACAGTGTATGAAGATGTATGAAAATTACAAATATTAATTGTAACTGACTGACCTGCATTAAAATCATGTATTACAGACAAAGGACCAGCAGCATAATATGGCGCTAAATTAGATACTTCTCTATAATCTATTCTCACTACTTTTTTATCATAATTATACCATAACTTAATAATAAACAATAAGAATAGGAGTTTAAAAAACTTAAAGGCAACCGCTTTGTTCATTTGAATTTCAGTAAGTTGATTTGTGACTGTTATACCCGACATCAGTGCGATTTTCAAGTTTTGTAAAATACTCAAAGGAGAATGCCAAATAAAATGTCAGTATTGGAACAATTCTAATGGCTCGTAAAATTAATTTCAAATCACATAGTTTAAAAACCCACATCAAAAATTAAAATCCTAGTGCAAGAGCGACCTTTTAGTAGAGTCCGCAGGATGTCAGTACTGCACAGGTAGAAATAAAATATACAGAAATAAAGATCCCTAGTCTTGACCAATCTAGAAATAATAATCAACAATATACATATGATCTAACATCACAATTGGGTATGAAAAATGAAGACTTACATCATATTGTGAGACAGAATCTAAACTGATGATATTTTCACGATATGAGAAATGGTTTGGTATTGTTGGTAGAGGTCTTGAATTATACCTTCCTGGACAATACACTCCTAATGGTGGCTAAAATGGATATTTTGTGTTTGTGTTACTTTTAATTGTCCTTTTTACTGCTTTTGTTGAAAGTAATCAAAGTATCTTATCATAATGACAATATTTTTGTGCTGGAGATCAAGCTCGAATATTAATGCTTCTGAAAACTATTGAAAGTGATATGTACCTCAAACAGTAGTGGATCCTGACCATCAGGTGCTATGAAGTTGTAGTAATCATAAATATGGTGAAACTGTCGGGGGTCTTTGTCAGTAAAAGTTTGTTGACCAGTGACCTCTATACGTACGGGATAAATACTTAATCCAGAAGAAGAATTCCATGATGGATCTTTAAAATATAAACCGATGAAAAGTTAAATATAATCAGTGAGGCCGGATGTTTTTGAGAATGTCGGGGATATATTCGTATTGACCGAAAATGGCAATTGTCTCCACTGTCTCCGTCTATCCTCTGTAATGCATGACCTTTAAAAGACGCCTTATAAGGCATCTTAAAAATTGTGGTTCATATACGCAGCGGGAAAAGACGGAACCGGCCAGCCTTTCCGTGTCTTTAGATTTAGGTAAAAAAAAATACTGAAATGACTTGAACGTTCTGACATTGTAAGGTTTTTGTATACATAGACCTACCAGAGAAATAATAGTCTGCTTTGAATGTTGAACTTGCCTCGGTCCAATTGAAACACGTTTGCCAATGGTTTACTGGTTTTCCACGTAAGATAGTTCTGTTTATAAAATACTAAAAGATAAAAAAAAATTGAATTAGGCCTATTACGGGGCGGACATTTTAGATCTTTCATATAATTTATCGTATAAACTATTTCAGAGCCGTTTTTAATGAGACGTGTCAAAGACAGTCACAATATGGTATAGAACCATTAACGTTGTTATTTATATACAAATTGATACTAGAATAAAATTGCTGGTAACATAAAAAGCTGATATGTTAGCTGATAATTTATATTTACCTGACCATATTTACTACCAAATCGTAAAGCATCGGCTGCAGAATTAATATGAAATGTACCATCTGATGTGTCAAAACCAAACAAATTGACCTCAGAACTATCATTAAGTTTTAATACTTGACATACTCCATCTAAAATATCAACAGAATCAGAAGAATGATAACATTCTTTGTTTTTGATGCTCTTACTTTT